CCTCTAAGCTAAGTGTGATGATGCTCATCTCCCCTTTACAGACGGAGCAACCGAGGCACAGAGAGGTCAAGCAACTTGTCTGAAGTCCTACAGCTTGTGCACGGGACATCTGGGATTCGGATCCAAGTGGTCTGGCTCCACCACCCCAGGCTCTTAACCACAGACAGCACCAGCCCCCCTTGTTTCCCAATAATGCCCTGCCTTCTCCCTTGCAACTCACTCTACTGGCACCAGGGAGAGAGAGAGAGAACGCCTACAGGTGGAAGAACAGCTTTGGGGCTTGACAATTTGAGATAAAGTCACCCTTTTGCCTCCCCAAGAGGGACAGGCTTATGGAAAAGGATGCAGGTTCTGTAACATGAGTTCCAATACCAGCTCTGTCATCTGCTGGCCATGTGTTTCTCGCCAAGGACTCCCCTTCCTTGAGCCTCAATTTCCTCACTGACAAAAAGGGTTCACGATAGACTTAGCCTGTAGGGCTGGTGTGGGGATACAGTGTGATAAGGCAGTCTTGCATACATTAGCACAGATGACCCTTGAACAACACAGGTTTGAACTCCACGGGTCCATTTATACACAGATTTTCTTCCCTCCTGCCATCCCTGAGACAGCAATAATACCAACCTCTCCTCCTTCTCCTCCTCCTCCTCAACTCAACATAAAGACAAGGATGAAGGCCTTTATGATGATCCACTCCCACTTAGTGAACAGTAAACATACTTTCTCCTCCTTATGATTTTCTTAACTTCTTTTCTCTAGCTTACTTACATTTATTTATTTATATATTTTTTTTGACAGAGTCTCGCTCTATTGCCCAGGCTGCAGTGCAGTGGCACAATCTCAGCTCACTGCAGCCTCCACCTCCCGAGCTTAAGCGATTCTCCTGCCTCAGCCTCCCGAGTAGCTGGGATTACAGGCATGCACCACCCCACCTGGCTAATTTTTGTATTTTCAGTAGAGACAGGGTTTTAGCATGTTGCCCAGGCTGGTCTTGAACTGATGACCTCGGATGATCCACCTGCCTCGGCCTCCCAAAGTGCTGGGATTATAGGCATGAGCCACAGTGCCTGGCCTAGACAGTATATAATGCAAGTAACATATAAAATGTGTGTTTATCAACTGTTTATGCTACCAGGAAGTTTTCAGTCAGTGGTAGGCTATTATCAGTTAAGGTTCTGGGGGAGTCAAAAGTTGTGCTCTAGGTTTTGACTGCAAGGAGGTTGGCACCTGTAACCCCAGAATTCTTCAAGAGCCAACTATAGACAGTAATAGCATTTTGCAGGGATAAGAAAACTAAAGCCTAAGGGCCAAATCTGGCCCACGGCCTATTCTTTGTTTTTCTTTCTTTCTTTTTTGAGATGGAGTCTTGCTCTGTCTCCCAGGCTGGAGTGCAGTGGCACGATCTCAGCTCACTGCAATCTCTGTCCTTCGGGTTCAAGCAATTCTCCTGCCTCAGCTTCCAGAGTAGCTGGGATGACAGGTGCACGACACCATATCCAGCTAATTTTTTTGTATTTTCAGTAGAGGTGAGGTTTCGCCATGTTGGCCAGGTTGGTCTCGAACTCCTGACCTCAAATGAGCTGTCTGCCTCAGTTTCCCAAAGTGCTGGGGTTACAGGCGTGAACCACCACGCCCGGCTGGCCTATTTCTATGAGTTAGGTTTAATGGGAACATAGCGCATTTGTGTATGTGTGGTCTCTGGCTGCTTCTGCCCTATGACGGACGGCAGACTTGAATAGCTGTGACGAAGACTGGCCCCCAAATCTTCAAATACTTAAGATCTGGCCCTTCCCAGAACAAACGTGCTATCCCTGATATACAGAAAGAGCTCAATATTATCCTCATGGAATGGCATTCAACTCAGGCCTCCAAAACTTCTCCGCCAGGCACAGGTTAACAAAAGATTCTGGAAACGCTGCACTCCACTTAATTATTGCTACACTCTATGTGCCAAAGCTAATCAAGAATACAGACAGGAACCACCTGGACCACTTAGACAAGGCTGAAACTGCAAGGGAGAAAGGAAGCTTTCCTTTCTAAATCTTTCCATTTGAAAGTATTGTGTAGGCCAGGCACTGTGGTCCAGGCCTGTAATCCCAGCTACTCTGGGAGGCCGAGGTGTGTGGATCATTTGAGGTCAGGAGTTTGAGATCAACGTGGCCAATATGGTGAAAACCCACCTCTACTAAAAATACAACAATTATCCAGGTGTGGTGGCAGGCACCTATAATCTCAGCTACTCGGGAGGCAGAGGCAGGAGAATCACCTGAACCTGAGAGGTGAAGGTTGCAGTGATCTAAGATGGTGCCACTGCGCTCCAGCCTGGGCGACAGAGTGAGACTGTCAAAAACAACAACAACAAAACACACACACACACACACACACACACACAAAACCAGATATAAAACAAAAGTACTGCATAGACACACGCTTGCTACTAGAAACTAAAATAATATAGATGCACTTGTTAAAGCTGTCCCTGCTGCCACCCCATCCCTGTAGATAGGGCCCACAAGGAAGGTTTGCTGTCTGTCCATCCAGCCCTCTTTCTGTGTACTTAGTGTATATGGCCACCTCCTATCTGATCTAAATCCTCTATTCTGTGACCAGTGCTAAACACAGAGGCACATATTTAAAATGAAAACCACCTCTAATGAACTGGGTGACCTGGCATAGGTCTCTTCCCCTCTATGAGCCTCATGTCCTTCTCTGTCCAGGGAATCGAATGAAGAGTTCTCTAAGAGATCTTTCTAGGCTACTTTTCTGGGGAGCCATTCTCGTGTTGCACTTCCTTTCTGCATCAAGAGAGTTGTATGAACTGAGTATCCGCCTTCTCAGGAGGACACCAGGCAAAGCCTTGTGTAGCTCCTGGATGCACCAATGCTGGGGGAACGGAAAGCTCTTACTCCCCAGTTCTGCAGCTGGCTTGATTCTCTGACTTTATGCCTTGACATTGAGCAGCACCTCAGTGGATCCCTTCCAGCTGTATCTGTTGACCCTGACACCTCCCCAAACTCCATCTAGCTTGACTCTGACATGCCCCCAACCCCACTGGAGCCCCCAGAGCTCTCTGTTGCCTCCTTGCTGGCCTCCATGCTCATTTAACGGTCTTTTACCTTCGGTGATAACAAAAGCAGGTGTTGGCATTTGGATTTAGAAGCAACAAGGGAGTATTGTGAACCTCTGGCCACTTTGTGAGGGACAGCTGGGCTGACTTTGCAGTGTGGCCCAATGAGAAGGAGGGATGGCCAGGAGTCAATAGTGAAGTAGGCGCCCAGGGATGGTGGAGCAAAAAGACCCCTAGAATACAAGCTGCTCCCTGAACAGATAAGAAATCCAGGACCTGAGAGCAGAAACGACTCTCCCTATTAGCTGGTAGCTGAGCTTGAATGAAATCCACACCCGTTTATTTCAAATGCATTCCTCTCTGTTTGTTGCTAGTGGCCCCGACTCTTTGTGGGAAGGTGCCTTTTGGATGCTGTTACCCTCTCCACAGAGAAAACCACTGAGCAAACAAATTCACAAACGTTTTGCGAAGATCTTCTTCAAGGAAAAAATAAAATTTGAGAGTGTTCCCAGAGGCTGGATTATCGTAAGCTAAGGTGGCAGGGGCTAGCGGGAGGGAAGGGGGCATGCCCTAAACAACAGTGACCACGAGTCAATGACCAGCGACCACGTGGCTGGGTCATGGGTACATTGGGGTTCTGTCTACTCGGAGTGGGTCTGAAATTTCCTGCCATAACAGTAAGCTTGTAAGGTCACTTAAAGGCCATGTGACCTTGGGAGAGGCATTTTACATCTCTCATATGAAAAAAATTGGGCTCATGACATCAGCATCAGCCTCACAGAGTGGTGGATGTCATTAACAAACTGACTGCACAGAGCCTGGTGCGGTGTCCAGCACGCAGCGAAACCTCACTAGCCACCTGCGGCTGCTGTCATTCCCCTTCCAAGGGCACTAGAGAAGGGGAAGATCACCACCAAGAAATATACATCAATGGCATGATTACACATGTGCTAGTGAAACTGGTCTCCCCATCTTCAGAGGGCCCCTCCACTCTGCCTGTGAATTTCTGGATCAGAGCTCTGATCCCTCCCTATGTCTCAGCAAGAGAGCTGGTTTATCACCAGGTCATCAGCACATAGAAGAGTGCCAGTGAGGGGAAAGAGGGAGGGGAAAAGGAAAGAGCAAGGAAACGTGGAAGGAAGGAATGGAGGAAGGGAGGGAGGGAGGGAGGGAGGGGAAGAAGGAGAGAAAAATTAGGAAAGAAGAGGGAAAAAAGCAGGAAGGAATGTAATAAGGGAAGAAAGAAAATAGGAAGAAAAGAAAGGAGAGAAAATTAAAATAAGGAAGAAAAGAAATAGGAAAGAAAGAAGGTGGAAGAGAGGAAAATAAGGAAAGGAATGAGAAGAGAGAAGGAAGAAAAGGAAAGGAAGAAAGAAAACAGGAAGAAAATAAAGGAAGTGACGTAAAAGGAGAATGAAAATAAAGGAATGGGAAGGAAAGAAAAAGGGAAATAGAAAGCAAATGAGGAAGAAAAAGAAGAGGGAAAGAAATTTTCAATAAAGAAAAATGGACAGAGCCTCTGAAGTTAATGCAACCAATTAGAAACCTCTCAAATCATAATCACTTACAGTATATTCATGTCAATTCTTATCCCAGTATTCTGCTGAAAGAGAAACCAAACCATATCAATACAGCTCCCTTGGCTCCTGCAAACGTCACATCAGCTCCCCATTTCACTCTAATTTCATCCTTTGCCATAAACGCAATGGGTTAAAGCACCTACAAAAGGTAATCTGATTTTACAAAATTTTTCTGATACAAGACTTCAGCATTCAGGGAGTACTAGAACACATCAGATCTCGCGTGCTCATCCGGGGTTTGGAAAGCAGGGCAGCCTCTCTCAGGAGCTCTGAGAAGGTGAGCAGAATGGGGCTGGGCAGGAGGAGGAAGTGGCCAGGAGATCTCTCTCTGAGCCACTGGGGCTGGAACTTACCCTCCAGGGGGCAGAACCGAGTCACCTTCTCAGGCATCAGCAGTCCTAACTTGTGGCGGCAGTAGGTCTCCCCAATCTCCTGGCGGCAGTGCTTGGACTTAGCACGGGACAGGGCAGAGATGGCCTCCTTGCCCGAGATGTCACACTTGGGGGGCTGGTCATACTTCGTCTCGGGGGAGCTGCCCCCAGTTTTCCTGGCATGAGGCAGTCTGGACACATCTTTCCCACGGCTGCTGTTGGCTGCGGCTCTGTCCCCGGGAGGCAGCACCTCACCGGGGCCTTTCCCAGGGAATGCATGTCCTTTTCCTTTTTCCTGCTGTTCCAGCTTCCTTTTCAAAAGCTCCTTCTGTCTACTCGGTGGCTTCTTCGCCAACTCAGGCTGGTGCTTCTGCTTTTGAGTCCTGGGTGCAAAGTTGCTGTTGTCGACATTCTCAAAGTCTTTGGGGACAGAGTTCTCGTTGTTGCTGTCTGTTCGCACTTTCTCTTTTGGCCGGTGAGAAAAGTAGCCGTCCTGGAGAAGAGGGGAGAGAAAGAGAAGAGAAACTTGACTGAGCGATCACACTAAGCAGACTGGCCTTAGGAGAGTGAGTCATACGCACATGGAAGCCTGGGCCATAGTTTCACATCCTACTTTTGCTACTGGTTTAACCTCTGGTAAGATGTTTCTCTCTGGACCTCAGTTTCCCCATCTGGAAATACGAGATGTTCCAACCAGAAACAAAGGCTTTTCAAGCTGTAAAGGGCCATGACTACGATTCTCAATGCTTCTTATTAACCACACCTTTTCAAGTCAGTTTCTCTCCTTAATTGTTTTGCCACTGGGTAACAAACATTTTGTTCCAGCGTCCTGTTTAAATTCCAGCTGAAAGTGCTGTGATGGTTTACTTAAGGGCTGGAAATGATATAATAAAGTTATAAAGGGAAAAATATTGGTAGGATATTATATACATTCCATTGCCTTTGGGACATGCTCATATATCTATGCCCATAAGAGAAATCAGACCGAGCCGTTGTAAATTCTGTGGGAAAGAAACCAGCGGCTTTTTTTTTTTTTTTTTTTAAAGAGGAATGCAGCCCTTGCAGGATAAACCTTACGCTAAGTCCTAGAGCAATGCAAACTTGTGACACTCTTGTGCTTGAGTTTGGCTCTTCATGTGTGTATGTGGAACAGAACTGATGAAGTCACTTGGGGTCGAGGCAAAGATCAGGAGTCATTCTGGAGACCACGCGTGGCATGGATGTTTCTAGAAGGGCTGGACCCCAAACTCAGCTCCTCTATGGGTAAATGGGTCCTGGTTACTTTGATCAGTTGAATGATCAAATGCATCATTCAACCAATGCCCCGAATTGTTTCTGCAACATGCTGCTTCTGCTTGAAGCTCATTCCCAAGGCCTTAATCTGAAAGCGTATCCAGTGTCCTAGAACATGGCCCCTTGACCTCTAAAACCACACAGAACAGTAATGGCTCCATACACCTGCCCTTGTTGCTATGGAAACACAGGGGCAATGAGCAGCATCCCTGCTAGATTTCCTTTTAAGGAAGGCTGAAATATGCCTTTTACCAGTTCCCAAGGAAAAAGGCGTCAGGGCCTGACCAGCAGAACTGCAGTGGTAGCCAAGAGCAGCTGACCCTCAGCAAGGCTCCCACCCCAGCAGGTCAGCAAACAACTGCCCGTGTTTTTTATAAATAAAGTTTTATTAAGACACAGCCACATCTGTCCATTTGTGTATTGTCTATGGCTGCTTCCTGATACAATAGCAGAGTGAATAGTTGCAACAGAAACTGTCTGGTCTGAAAAGCCTAAAATATTTCTATCCTAAAATATTTCTAAAATATTTCTACCCTTTAAGAAAATGTACACAGACCCCTGCTCTGCTGGAGTGTGAGTTAAAAGGCTTCCTCCTCTTGGACTTGGTTAACTGTTTCTGTCCTCACCATCCATATATGACTTAGTGATGGCCTGGAGAAGAAGGTGCCCCTAGGACCGGGTGTGGTGGCTCACACCTGTAATCCCAGCACTTTGGGAGGCCGAGGCAGGTGGATCACTTGAGGTCAGGAGCTCGAGACCAGCCTGGCCAACATGGCAAAACCCTGTCTCTACTAATAATACAAAAATTAGCTGGGTGTGGTGGCCAGCGCCTGTAGTCCCAGCTACTCGGGAGGCTGAGGCAGGAGAATTGCTTGAACCTGTGAGGCAGAGGTTGCAGTGAGCTGAGATTGCACCAATGTATTCCAGCTTGGGTGAGAGTTAAATTGTGTCTCAAAGAAAAACAAAACAAAACAAAAAAACAAACAACAACAAAAAACAAAACAGATGCCCCTCTAGCCTCTGCTCCATTGCTCTTAGCTGTAAGCACGAACTTCTCCTATTTGGTGGAGGCTCTGACACTAAGACACCTTGTGGCCACTCTGAAGGCTGAGTATGGCTATGACTTTCATTTTCCAGATGGGGAACTAAGCACGCATGAACAAGTGACTTGCCCAGGGTCACCCACCTAGTTGGTGGTGAAGCTGGAATTCAAACCAGACAGATCACAGACTCCACACTCTGGGCTACCAGGGACACTATCCACTTCCAAGAAATTGTATGATCCTTATTACACCCACCACCCAAAACCCTTAAGCACTGCAAGCTGACACTGAACTGCAAGATCTGGCCCCTCCCACCCAGTTAAATGAATCTGCTCTAGGTGTGTGACCTCCAAATTGCAATCTTCAGGCCGGCCAGTGGCCTACTGTGTTGCAGAAAGTCACAGGGAGACAGTAAGCAGCAGCCACAAAGCACGTGGAGTTTGAGGCTGCAGGAGCTGGGAGGTTAACAAGGCAGGAAGAAGGAAAGAGATCCAAGAAAAAAAAGAGCTGATCCGTCCCATATTGGGTCACAGGGTGGCTACTGGTCGTACACAGGAACTGCTTTTACATCCAGATCTATAAGTGAGGGCCTTCTGCTTCTGGTCTGTCTTATTCTCCCACAGAGACCTACAAAAAATCCCCTTCAGTGGGTACCTAGACTACATCTTTATTCTTGTAACCTAAACAAACACTGCTGATGTTCCTCTTTTCCTGTTTTTCTATCCAGAGGCCCTTGAAGAGTCCCAAGCAGCCTCTCAGACACATTTTCTGAGCTCTTACCACCAGCCAGGCACCATAGTAAGTTATTCACAGGTATTACTTAATAGGGTACTGACAATTGGATGTATTCGCTTTGCCATTTTATAGAACGAGGAGCCAACGCTGGTTGTGATACATTCTTCAATATGGATCACGTGCTAGGTGCCACGCTAAGCTCATAGATGGAGTATCTCACTTAACTCCTGGAAACAAGTTCCAACGTAGGCACTGACAGAAAAGGGTGGAAAATAAGGTTGGGGATGTTAAGTCATTTGCACAAATTCATCTTGGGGAGGTGGTGAACTTGCATCTGCCTGATTCTAAAACCTGCTATTGTATCACGCCTCTTGTGTTTTGCTGAGAGGTAAATCGAGAAGCATTGAGCTCCCTGCAGTGGAATGGGAATCACCCTCTTTGCTCATATTAGCATCTGTCGGGATAAAGCTGATGGGCAGGGGTGGCATTCAATAAAGCTATGAAAAACCATTTCAGTTCCATTCCTTCTAGGTACGTGTTAGGATTGCAAGTCCCTATCCCTTGCACATTAGGTACAGACAAGAAACACGGTATGACCAAGAGCAGTGACTGGAACCCATAAGGTGTCATTCCCTGGATACCACAATATCCAGCCACCCACCTGCTGGTGGAGGTCATGCATCCCTGAGTGAGGCCCATGTGGAGCAGAGACTCCACCAACCCTCATGGTGCAGAAACTGACCCCTGCTGCTTTGAGTCACAGAGATTTGGGGGATCTGTGTTACTGTAGCATGGTCTAACTCATCCTGATTAATCCAGGAGCCAACCTGATCTCCTTTCTTCCTTTGAGCTGACTTAGGTACAGGAGTCAATTTTTTTCTCCCTCCAACAGACAGAAAAACCTATTTGACGACTCCCATGCTCCAAGAACATAAATTTAAATTCTGTCCCTAAGCCCATTTTCTAGAAGCTTCTAGAAATGTCTAAAGGGCAGGGAGTAAGCCAGAAGAGCTACTGCCCTAATGGACATGTTCATTTTCTCTCTTCAGACATATCCTAAGTGTTATTCTTGGGCTCTTCTCTTTCCTTATTATCAGCAAGGTTCCCCGCCACACAAGAGAAAACCTCCACAAACCCCCATTTGAAAAGCTTCTGTTCTCCATCACTTTCTGGCTGAACTTCGCCAAGCAAAACCAGACAGAAAGCACTGCGATCATCTCCCTCCACCCCCCATGGTCAATGATGCTAATCTGACAATCAGAGAATGGCCATTTCCTCTGGCTAATGTGTAATACCAGGAAGAGGCACCATCATTGATTCTAAAGGGACTCATGATTAATACCCGCTATCTATTCAAGAGAGGCCAATACAATGGCCATGATTAGCTTGTGGTGGCCCTGTGAACTTCTGCCTGGCCCCAGATGCTACTCAGCAGCCACGGAAAATAAAAAGATTTGAGTATAAGAGGGAAGGAAAATATTTTGTCTTCTGGAATGAAGAGCTCACAGATATTAGATAGCTCCCAGAAAAGTCAGAGAGAGGCACAGTCAGCAAGAACTGGAGGCCTGAGAATTCCTGTCCCTCGGAGTCACTGCCATTTTCTATAGTGACTGCTGGAGTTCTCTCTAGCTTTCCCCCTCCAATTCTTTTTTTTCTTTTCTTTTTTTTGAGATGGAGTTTCACTCTTGTCACCTAGACTGGAGTGTAATGGTGTGATCTTGGCTCACGGCAACCTCTGCCTCCCGGGTTCAAGCAATTCTCCTGCCTCAGCCTCCCGAGTAGCTGGGATTACAGGCACCAGCCACCACGCCCGGCTAATTTTTGTATTTTTAGTAGAGATGCAGTTTCACCACATTGGCCAGGCTGGTCTCGAACTCCTGACCTCAGGTGATCCACCCACATTGGCCTCCAAAAGTGCTGGGATTACAGGTGTGAGCCACCGTGCCCAGCTCATTTTTTAATTTACTATTTAAACACTTTATTTTACTATGCAACTATAGTCAACAATATAGTACTATACGCAACATACAGCAAATTGTATATTGTTGCATGCACTATGATATTGTTGACTACAGTACTGCACAGCAGATCTCTATGGTTTCTTCATTATGCATGCATGATTGAGACGTTATGCCTGTCCATCAGCAACTCCCCATTCTCCTCCCCAATCCCCCAACCCCTGGCAACCACTATTTCACTCTCCAGTTCCAGGATTCTGACTATTTTCGACAGCTGATAGAAGCAGAATAAATACATGTGCTATCTGTCCTTCTGTGACTGGTTTATTTCAGTTAGCATAATGTCCTCAGAGTTCATCCATGTTGCTGCATGTTGCAGGATGTTCTTTTTGAAGGCTAATATCCATTGTATGTACATGCCACATTTTCTTTGTCCATCCGAGGATGGACGCGACATATCACTTCATGTTCCCCCTAACTCTTCATCTGACTGCCAAGAGGTGAACAGATTTTGGCTTTTCTGTCCTTTCTGTGGAGACTCAAGATCCAGAAAGCCAAACCCAGGATCCCTTCCCTTTACAAAACCAATCTTGGGAGATCTCCAGGCAGACCCATAGAAAACAACCATCATATGGCCAGCACCAAAGCGGCCCATGATCTGTGTCCTTTGAATCTTCTCGAAAACTCTTCGAAGCAGACAGTATTAGTCCTCCTTAAGGGGAGGAGACTAACACAGAGAGAGGTTAAGTAACTTGACCGAGTCCATGCTGCTAGTAATGAAGTGACTCAAACTCTCTGTGTCTCAGTTTCCTCATTTAAAACATTGGGATGATAACCCCTTGGTATCCATGGAGATGATAATAATACTCACCTCAGGCCAGGCACGGTGGCTCATGCCTGTAATCCCAGCACTTTGGGAGGCTGAGGTGGTCAGATCATGAGGTCAGGAGATCGAGACCATCCTGACTAACACTGTGAAACCCCGCCTCTACTAAAAATACAAAAAATCAGCCGTGCGTGGTGGCGGGCGCCTGTAGTCCCAGCTACTCAGGAGGCTGAGGCAGGAGAATTGCTTGAACCCAGGAGGCGAAGACTGTAGTGAGCTGAGATCGTGCCACTGCACTGCAGCCTGGGTGACAGAGCGAGACTCTGTCTCAAAACAAACCAACAAACAGTGCCTCACCTCTTGGGTAATTCAATGAGGAAGAGTGTATGTAAAACTACTAGACCATGTGCACCACACAAAGCCGGAAGAAGAATGAGCAGCAAACCAGACTGGGTATCTCTACCAATTAACACTCTCTCTCCCCTGACAGTCTCCGCCTAAAGGACAGATTGGTTATTATTTCTCAACTGTGATCAACTGGCGTCATCTTCTCTACTCTTAATCAATCCAACTCTCTCACCTTGAGTTGTTTATGCCAATGCAACCCTTTGACTTACTTTATTTTAATGTACTTATTACAATGATTGCACATTCAAATGTTTGCGTGCAAGCTCCAAAACTCTAATTGCTCTGCTGTTGCCTTACCTCTAAGCTGCTGCTAGAATCCATTTTTATTCTGGAGAAATAATTAAATGCAATAACGTCCTCCGTTTCCATTCAACCTTGGGCATGTTTAGAGCCAATTTCAATCAGGTAGAAATATGCTAAACAATATGGCTCCGAGAGGCAGGTTACCTGACCCACGCTGCTGTTGCAAAGACACGTGGGTCTGTTTCCATTTTTCCCAGGTTCTCTTGGTTCAGGATGAATCTATACTTAGTCTACTGAATCCCGGCTCCTTGCTCCCATTTCTGAGGGGTGGGGGTGGGTTGCTGTGATTTTTAAACTATCCACTTAAGAGATAAACCTTTGCTCTTATTGTTTATGTAGAAAGAGCACCAGGCAGGGATGGGGAAGACCTGCGTATTAGTATTGCATTAGCTGGTGTCCAATTTTCTTATCTGTAAAATGATGTGTCCCGAATGTGTGTTACTAACCATTCTGAGTTAGTCATTAATCAATGTATGCAATGAACAAATTCTGCCCCTTCAGCTCATTAAAAAAACAGTCCGATGGACCTTAAGAGACCAGGAACTGAGGAAAAGACGGAAGCTCCAAAGGATATCCCGTCTCCTCCCAGCCCTATCCCTCCATCATCGTCTATAGTAGCACACTGAGATTCAGAGGTATGGATTCAGGAAGAAGTGAGCTTGACTCCTCCCTTTTTCATTTGCTGGGGTTCTTCAAGCTGGGACAGAACATTTCTCCTCTCTTTGCCTGAGTTTCCTCATCCATCCCAAGGAGCCGAAGATGGCACTTACCTCCCAGGGACTGAATTGATCAAGCATAGAAGATAATGCCTGACATGTGCTAAGTGCTTAAGAAACATGTATGTCTTAGGTTCCATTCCAAGCCTGTTGCATGCACTGACTCATCTCCATGATGAGCTGATAAAGAAGATGCTATATTTTCTACCCATTTTTCAGATTGGAACATTAAGGTACAAGGAGGTTAAGTGACTAAATCCACACACCTAGGAAACAGAGGAGCCAGGATTTGAGCCCAGGCTGCCTAGGTCCAGAGGTCATGCCTTTCAATACCCCACAGCCTCTCCACAGCGATTAGGAATAGGGACAGGGCCAAAGGGAAACCCCAGCCAGGTGCACTGCTCAGACATGAGGGCGTCCGTCCCACCCGCTCATCGTGACCAGTTTACGGCTTCCTTTTGTGCCATGTGCACGCACAGCCGGCTGGGTAGTTGTTTGCTGTTGAACTCAGTGTCCGAGGCTTCGTTCCAATCACCAAGGCTACCAAGGCCACTGGGAGGGACAAACGGGGAGAGATCCGCACCTGCTTCCAAAAAGACCTCCGTGCCAGGGTAGGCAAATGGTGGAAGCGCAGCGTGCGTGGCTGTACCAATTAGGACATGCAATTACCCAGGCTGCCAATGCAAATAGACCTAACAGAGGCCCCTTGCCCAGCTCATTTGCATGCACAAAAGGTGGCTGGGCTGGCCAGCACTTAGAAACCCGTGGACCACGCTGGACACGGGCAGGCCCTGCTGTAACAGAACCCTAAGTAAAAAGCCCTTTGCAATGTAGCATCATGTTAACGGGATGCAAAACACAGGACAGGCTGAGATGGGAAGGAGGGAGACTGATAGGGCTGAGTTGGAATCCGGTCTCTGCTTCTTAACTCTGAGATGGAGGACAAGAGATTTAACCTCTCAGAGCCTCATTTTTCTCATCTACAAAAGAAGGGGGTAAGAAGACCTACTTTGCAAAGGTAAGGTGGGGATTAACTAATATGTCACACACATATAATGCTATTTAACAAAACAACATTGGGAGAGAGGCTTGATGTATATTAAGCACTCAAGTGGCAGCAGGATGATATTTCAAGCCAGCGCCTTGTGACCTGATGAGCAGGTCTGAGTCTTTTTGGAAAGGCAGGGTGTTGAGGCACAGTGGGTTGAAATCTGGACCCCGCCCTTTGCTCACTGTGTGGCCCAGGGCACAGTGCCTACCTTTGTCTGCCTCAGTTTCCTTCCCTGTAAAATGGGGACAATAATGCGTACCCAACCTAATGAGGCTGTCATGAGAATTAAAGTCAACACATGTAAAAACACTTAGTTTAATATCTAGAACTTAATAAATATTAGGTATAATTTTTTAAAACAGAATTAATGCTTGCGATGGTGATTTAGTAAAGTGGTTCTTAAAATGTGGTCTGGGAACTGTTGGGGGTCCCTGAGGCCTTCTCAGGGGATCTTTAATGACAAACTATTTTCACCATAATATAAAGACGCTATTTTCCTTTCTTGTTTACTCTCTTATGAGTGTACAGTGGAGCTTTCCAGAAGCTACATAACACGTGATACTGCAACAGAAATCAGAAGCAAATGTGAGAATCTAGCTGTCTTCTATTAAGCCAGGTGTTACAGAGATTTGTGAAAAATGTAAAACGGTGCCTCTCTTCTCCCTAAATGTGTTTTTGTTGGGGAAAATTTGCATATTTTTCATAGATACATTTTATATACACAAGTAATAGGTACTATGACTGTTTTTAAGTGAATTAATAAACATTTTAAGAATGTCTTAGTTTAAAAGTTACTATATAGAAAACATTTGATAGAACCTACCTAAACCAAAGCTCTCTGGGGATCCTCAATAACATTTGAGAGTATTAGGCAATCCTGAGACCAAGTTTGAAAACTGCTGACATAATAC